TAAATGAATGTTGTAAACGAATGAAACTAATAGTGTTTTGGTGAAAAATGTTACGTTCACTACCAGTCAATCTTTAGGACGATAATAAAAGTTGAATCATCATCGTTATTATCATCCGAATCATTCTAGTCATCATCTACAAGTGCGTCTCCGAATCTTCAGTAGCTTTCAATCAATTTGATACTACTCAAACCTATTATGGATGAGTCTGGTGTTACTCAGCCGAACAAATTAGGGTCTTAAATTAAATAAAAAACAGGTAACATAAAGATCAAAGAGTGTAATACCTACTAAATGAACAGGACAGTGACTGGAAATGTCAGATTCTACAATATTTAGTTTTTAGTGCCATTATGCATAGAAATTCTAGTGAATGTTTTAAGAAAAAAAAGAAAGAAAAAACTGGGTTTATTTTAAAGATGAGAATCAATTGTCTATTGATCTCTACAAAGTGAGAAAGGTGCTAGAAAGCAAAGGTATAGAATATTAACTATTATTATTAAATACATTATTTAGATAGTTTTTATTATAGAGTGACCGGAATTTGTAAACGCTTTAACTAGGGACTCCTAATAAGTGTATACATTACTTTTCTGGAACAAAGCTCAGGGAGAAGTCTTTACACTGGAAACAGAGATAGAATTTGATAATCTAGAATTCCAAATTCAGTCAATTTACGATAATACGATCAACACACTACTCCACCACTTTAAAAGTCATCTAACAAATTAAGTAGGAATTAAATAATTCCTAGAAACTTCTATGTAGTTAAAATAATAATGATAATAATAATAACGACAACATTGATCTTCCACTGACCAATGAATAGTTACCAGAAATATTCCCTGGGTTCTGGTGAAAGACTATGAGATATGTAGTCCTCCATTAGATGATAGTTGCTCTACATTTCTAATCGTCTTAGACAGAAAATATGGAGCACCACATCTTGCTTCAGTGATCTGAACGTAAGGCGCTTGTTGTTAGATCAAGATAGGGAAAGCCGTAATATATTACATCATAGCTAAGTAAAACTACTTACAAGGATGATGTCATAAGAAACATTGCAATTAAATCGACTGATTTTTTACTACCTAACAGCATTGAAATCCGCCATCATTTGAAGTAGTTGACCTTTTGATTTAAAGTAAAACTATTCTGTATCACCCGTTTTGTAATGATGTTCTGAAAATCACATATATTTATTACTGAACAGATCATTTGTTAAAGTTCTTTCGTCTTATCAAATAATCGTATCATTGGTAAACAAACTATGCATTATGATACTCAAATACAACGCGTTAAACATACAAATTTTGAACAAATAGTAAATGTTTGAATTGTGGATAGATAGTCATAGTGAACTCAGAATTACACAGTCTGTTTACGACTGACGTATATTATCGAGTTTATTTCCATATAGAATTGTTATTATCAACTGAGCTGTAAATATAACAAAAATAGATTTTTAATGAGGTATCGTAGAGTTAAGGTTTTCTGAATGTTGTTACATTTTAATAAGAATTATTCACAACTCGATCACTGCATAGTGTAAGATGTAATTACTAACTTACATATTTATTTCTCTATCTTTTTGATACATCCAGTCAAATAGGTAGTATCAAAATCATTGACTAGTATATGTGAATAGGTCTTTTAAATTGTGTGACATATCTCCATAGTTTTTTTTACTAAACGGGAACTTTATCGATTATCTTAGTTATTTAAACGAGTCACTAAACTGGCATGTTTTTACTACAGTACAAGAACACACTCAGAGATGATTATGGCAAATCTATCTGAAATTCAGGAAGATAGGTTTATTTCACAGAACAAAACTTCCATACAAATAAATAGAGCAATTAAAGTTAAGAATCAACAGTACAATAAAATTTTGAACAATTTATATGGTTAAAACGAGGAAAGGCTCTTTATAAGTATATATTTGTTCATACCTTATACCAATATATAAATACCAGTAATGAATAACATTTGAAAAAAAAAAGAAAAATGTACTATCTTTCTCATAACTATTGAGAGACATTGTTAAACGGTATAACACCGTCAATAACAACAGTTACACTAAATTGGAGAAAAACGACAAACATTAGATTTAGGGGAAGGGTAAATTCCGATTTGCCCTTCCTCATATTGCTCCCTGGATAGCGGGTGATCTTTTTCTCCATGGATTAACGCAAGTGGCACATCAGACACTGGACTGACCACCCACTCTACCAAAGATGGAGATCAGGGTAATCATCCACTTTGTCTTAATTCTGATTAACAAAAGATATATTAAATCTGAATTGAGAGTGTGAATGTGGAGCTCGAGAAAGCTTTATTTTGGTGTCTGAACAGACTGTTTGGAAGAGCCCATAAGGTCTGGCAGGGGCGGGCCAGAGCGAAGGCCATGAAGTGTTCTGTAACCAGTGCACATAGGTCAACCCTAAACCTGCTTGTGATATGAACGTGATGTGAGCATATCGTTTATGACGACCCATTTTATATACTAATTTGAGTACTTGATATTCATTTAGTGATTAAAGCTTCTAGGCTACGACCTGGGGGTGATCTCATCTCTACCTATATACATTCTGTGGCATGCTTGGCTTTCGGTCTATGCGTTCGATATATGCAGGTAACATATGTTTGCGAGAAGAAACTTCTGTACCTATCTAGACTCTTAGGAAGAGTGAACTTGTTTGTACATTTTATGATTAGATGTACCGTATATCAGCAACCGCACTCATCAATACCTATACATGTATCACTGGAATATATGTATTTCCAATGTGAGAATTTCATTATATGCATACATGACATACTTGAAAGTTCCACTTTCTCCACTGGTGAACTCATAAGTAGTTCATCAGAGCTTTGGCTTACATAAAACATTTCGACATTGATGGGAAAGTGTAGTGTTGCCAAAATGTATCCGTCTTCCCTATATGTTGGTTAGTTAAAGGAGTTTGTTTTATTAATTTTGTAAATTATATGGATACGTTAAACTATTGATTAATTAACATTAACCACTGACAGTTATTATTATGATTATCGTTATTATTATTATTGGCTTTATTCAGTATTATACTTTTTGGTACAATGTCGAATTTTCAGCACAAAGTATTTCAACAAGTTTCTTCTAGGAAACTAAAATAGAAAAAAAAGCCAATAAGTGCATACATATATACAGAAATAAAGTGAATAATTCACCTAGAATTAAATGAAATGTATTTTTTTTAGGAAGATTAGATATATACACAGCTTTTAATTAGAAACATTTTCAAGAATACAAGTTCGATACAATCAAATTTAATTGTCGACCAAATGTTTTAAAGAACATATATTTCACTGTATATTTGAATGTCATCAATGATGGAATCAGTGTTTCTGGTATAAACAACTCTTTACCAACAGTCTTACATTCTCCTTTGTATTTATCCATTGTTGTCTTATTACATTGAACAAATAACAAGTAACGGTTTAACATCACATACAATACAACAGTAGAGTAAAAATTGGTGAGACTATAATTTATGGACAACCATTGAGCGACTCTAAAGTGACCTTGAGAACATTCACCAACTTACTAGAGCTAAATGAGGGTTATAAACCTGTGTGAATAATAAAGATTATGATTTACAGTTGATGGTTAAGGTGGGGAATTAGATTTAGGGTTTTCATCACGAACTGATATCAGCTATTATGTCAAAACTCTATTTAGTCAAATAGTAGGATGAGCTTCGCGCTAAGATCCAAGACCTGTTGTCATAAATTTGATTGATTCGTCCACAAATTGTAGTCTCGCCATGTTTAAAAGAAAGTATTTGTCAGTATTCGTCTACCATAGTAATAAAATCCTTATTTGATGGCATTATTCACCAGTTATTTTTCAATTGATAGTCTTATTTCACAACTAGAAGGACTTTATTAGTTACATGTTTTGTCATTGATTTTTACGAACCTGAATCCATTGATTTAGTCATGTTGCTACTCAACTCAAGGCGTAAGCTTTTCTGTTACCACACTTTTTAATCTTTATTTTATGATTTTCGTAGTATGATAATGAATTGTATTCGTAAGATTTAGTGACGATTATTAGAATTCAGATGAAATTACAAAACATTGAATATTATGTTACGTATTTACACTACCTTCTAATCAACTCTGCTTGTTTATTTAATGTATACTTAGGTGCTGCGGACATCCTTTTCGCAGTAAGCTATAAAAAAATAGAGCCATCTTACATTATCATTGTATTTTACTAAGATACGAACTGACGTTTTTCTTACTATTCTATGAAACTTTTCCTGCGTAATTATAATTGAAATTTTATCACGGCAATGTTTGTCTGATATTTTACACTGTTTCCATTTCAGTAACAAAGTACGTAAATCATTGGTTTTTTTTCAAGCAATTCCACTCCTTAATTAAACACACCAACATATTTACTCATTTTCTCTCAACCATAGAAATTTTACCATTAAATAGTGACAGCAATAGAAAAAAAATATGTCATTTAGCAATGACCTATCAGATGCACCAACTAATAGATTTCAGAGGTCTAGAGGACTAGTGTAGTCTGTCAAACCCTAGAAAAAATTGCTTTGATTTGGTTCGCTTGCTTTGCACAGGGTCAAAATTACGCCTCCCCTAGTTTTAGAAACCAGACATGTATGTCAGTTTAATCTGCCTGCCTCTCTAATGTATGAATCAGTCGATTGGCCTAGAGGATAGACAGACACATATAAATTAAAATCGCTCGTGTCACTGAGTCAGCCTGGTCTTCAGGATTGTCCAGTGTTTGAGCCTGCGTGCCAGAATTGGCATCAAGCTTGGCATATGTACTGTAACTATATATAGGTTGTTATTCAGTACAGCTGCAAACGTTCGCTTCTCTCAGGATTCGAATTGGGATTGTTGTTGATGGTGGTCTATTTTGCCTTGCGAAATTGCATAGAATTTCAGTGAATTTGCACATGTTTTCGGTCTTCACATCCCTAAATATCTACTGATTATTACATCATTCCTGCAGCCCATTCTGGCCGTGGATCACGTTAAATCGTTTGCTTCCATGTCAACGACGGTTGTAGGCCAGAGGCCGGCTCCTCATCGCCCTTTCCGCGGTTTAGTTCAAGTGGGCTACACTCCTTCACGAGCTACACCCCCAGCCACGCCTGTTGATGCGACGACAACGCGTGAGGAGGCGCTTCTTGCAACTTCCGTCAATGGATGTATTACTGGTGTCAGTCATATAAAACCTTTCTTCCTACCCCCTCGTGGTCAAGGAGAGGGAAATCATGGCTCTGTGGAGAAAGGTTTGGGCTACGGGGCATTCGGAGTTGTTTGGTGAGTCGTATATTCCTTGTTTTTTTCTAAAGAAATATTATCACTGATTTTAAGATCTACGTTGTTAACACAATTCCACATATACATATTAGTTTCGTGTACTCGTCAAAAGTCTTAAAATTAATTTTGGACGATAAACTGGTACATCGGTTTGTACTTGAATAACTTCGACAACTGTTGTGAGTTTAGTCAGTTGTTAGCATAGTTTTGCCAGTAAGCAATATCCTTTTTGAATACATGCCATGAATGCTTTCTAGTCCAATTGAATCTAACGCTGAAAAAAATATGGTTAGCCGATCGTCACTAGTAGGCACTGGTAGTAGTTTACTCTCCATTTTATTCTCTGAATGATTTTAAGGCATCAATTCTGCAAAAATTAAACGCCGCAACTCCTTGCTAGTAGTGAATTTTTATATAACCGTTTTTTCTCAATTTCTGAAGAAGAAAAAACAGTTGTTAATTGGCCTTCCACAAGGCTATGCTACAAGAGAACTTCTGTAATTGAATAATTATCATTTTGTCACTGATTCTATTTCATGGTTCTTCCAAACATCTTATAAAAACGGTCGTATTGATGTATGATTGTGGTTGAGATTCACAGATGGAAAATCTTAATGGTAGTAAAACACTCCTCTCTAAAAAGCTAAAATGACTGACAACTTTGCAAAGAACGCTTGTAGAAATTTTTTCTTCGTTGGCTTCATTGTCTATTTCTTCGTTAGATTTCGTTTAAAAGATTCAGTCAATGTGTTCATTTTATTCTGTGAACCTATGTTTAAGCTTGTAAGGTAACTTGTTCAATAAATTTTGTAAAAGATACTTAGAATACTCACTTGTTCATGAATGAGGAATATTTACTAACAGACAAAAGTTTGACTAAGGCGTTACACCACTTATTATCGATTTTTCTTTTGTTATCAAATTTGTCATGATTGATAAAACTAGTATACGGAGTACTAGATAAATGCATTTTCTCAATCACTCTATTATTTGAAGATAATATACTGGGCATTTACACTTTATTGTTTGAAAGGCAAATATCAAGTAATGAGTTTTGTCATGTTTACTAGAGGATGACCATAGGGTGTGTATTCTGTCCATAGATTCGAATGTAGTTGTTTACTAGAGTGATGAAGTCATTCTAATGTTCACTGTATTTCCGGTGTAAATTTAACTACTTCATCTTGTCTTTTTCTGATAACTGCACATTTGTGATCCTCCATCCTAGCAAATTTGATCAAACTAATCATAGTATTTGGGATGAGTCAGTAATAAGATGGTATAATTTCGCTGATAACCCTTCTGTGAGTGTAACAGTTGTATCTTTTGAGTCGGTGGTTAGGTGAAGCGAACAGAACAGTTTCTTCATGACTATTCATTGATATATTTGAGTGCAGACTAGAATACTGCCGAAGCCCACGGATCGAAACAGATATCTTTCTTTGGTGGTCACTCCCAGAGCCTGAAATCCCAATCCACAACCTAAAATTCGTATATTAGGTGAAAATAAATAATAGTCGGTAGGTGTTGTGGATTTAACGCCAGCCCAAATCTATTGAAATAAATGTTTCAATCTTAAGTAATTTTCTTACAAAGATCCAAACGATTGCATTATTGATTCTAATCCAGAATATTCAATCGACAAGTTGAAACTCAGGTCAATATATTTCGGTTAGGTCATCTGGATAGTATTGTTGTCTTTAAAGCTGTAGTTCGAAGACGAATACATAAATCTAAATGAATTCCATCATCAAATTATATATTTTTTGACTTGATAGGGAATTTGACACTACCTACATTAATGTTAATTTCTGTCGTGCCAAATTTTTGATTATTGTAACTTTTAGCTGCTACTTATTCTCAATTATCTGCAAAAACGGTAAAATTGTCACGAACATTACATCATTCCTAGAATTTCATACCCAATGATTCGTACTGTTTTGTTTTAAGTTTGGTATCACTTTCGTAGGTTATGTTGATTATTCCTGGCTCTCTAGATTTTAGTAGATGGAACTGTGTTAAATCTTCATTGATGGGTAAAGTCAAGTACCTAAAACATCGGGCAATCGATATTTATTCATATATCTTCAATGATGATTTGTAAAAGCGTAATTTGATATCACTTTGGAATTTGGGAATTTCGTCAGTGATTGACTGAGTTTACTGATCAGTGAACAGTTGTTTACATGAATTTGTTCATAACATTTTAAAGATTTATGCGTTGCATATAAAATGAGTTCTATTTAGGCAGGTATTCCGTTTTCAGCTATGAAATTCACATACGAAATCTCTACATCTTTAGTATCGTTTAGTTTTCTCATAACATATATAGTTTGATTTCTAGAGTACATAAAACTACTTTTCTAAGTACGTCCGGCTAAAAGATTCCCTTTCTACTCATCAGGATTGTTTAGAGGATACTGTGTTTCTGTTGAGTGGGATTAGTTCCTATCATTCTTAAGATACAAATCAAATGGTTCAGTTATTTCTAAAGCTACTTTCATGCAGTTTATCAACCATAGTGGACATTATACGGAGTTGATGAACGATTTAATATTTGAATGTTCACTACTCTGATCGTAATTCCAACCCCACAGTCGTTATTGTGTGATGTTGAAAATCATTGTGCCCACTTAAGTTTCCCATAGATGTATGTATCTGTCAGAATTGTACTCTCTCTCTCACGTCATCAAATTCACAGCGTAGCTGTTTGGCTGGTATATTCCATGTACATGCTATTAAAATATTTAGGCATCTATAGTTATTATTGGATCAAAATGTACGTCAGATGTTTAGTTGAACTTTTTGTAATAATCATTATCTAGTTCTGTGATATCTGACTGCTACTAAATTCTGGTAAGTATATGAAGGGCATAAGTAAATTACTATTAATATATATTAGACACCAATTTGCAGTAGAAAACTGGTCATCATATTAATTTTGTGTGTAAAGTGCGGTGCGTGTGCTCAGACCGAAGGTCCTGGGTTCGAGTCCCGCGTGCGGGATCGTGGACACGTGATTCTGAAGAGTCCCATACTAGGACGAGACGACTGTTTCCAGGTTTTCAATGATATTCTAACATTGATTTATTCATGATATCAATCTAAAATGTGTGTTGTGTTGAATTACCATATCGTATTTTTTGTAAATCAAAAATAACTATTACTAGCCCTTTTTTAATAAAATACAAAAGAAGTACAACTACTTTTCACCTAACGATTCTCATCCCATTTTTAATCTATGTGTTTGACCTACAAATTTTGAGACCTTTCTCTAACGTGGAAAAATTGAAAGTTACTGGTCAATAGTTTTTGTCTCAAATAAAATCCATTTAAACTCAATCACTACGTTGAATCGCACACACTGAATCACACTTTATTTTTTAGTGCCTTAGGCATCTTATTTCATTTTGTTAATTTTCTGAAAATTATCTTTTCATCGCTAATTTTATCTTTCTACACTACTGAAGTGTCAAAGTCTAAGCCTATGTACTTTCTTAGGTGCATTCACTCTTCACTTCTCTTACATCACAAGCTTCTAAATTCATCATAATTTATTTCATTAATTTGTATTTAAACCAGTCGAACCTTCCATATCTAATCTTATTACCATAAATACCTTTGCTATCTGTACTACTCTGGGATTCGCCATGACAACCCGCTGTGCTAATATGGTATAGTGAATTGAACAGATGTAGACATATGCAAAATTCTGCGTTTTGACTGATCGTGTACTTTCGTACCAGTCTGTATCTTGATATATTTATCTAATAATCACTAAGTCATTAGTCAAAGGAAGCATTTCTGGTTTTTGTAAGTGCGTTCATTATCATTTTCGGAATGTGGAAAGGTATTGTCATTTACCATAATGGAAAACATCAATGTAATTTGTCCAACTTCAATTAAATCAGTTTCAGTCAGTCAGCTACAACGCAGGACTAGACACATGTATGCATCGGTCCAAGTTACCACACCTCATCAGCACTACACGATGAACACCAGATTCATAGTTAATTCAGTGATGGTAAAATATAAGGACATAACGCAGGAAGAAAGAATCAGTTCGTAGAAATAATGGTATAAAGCAATTAAACTAGCTTCCTTCATATCCCCTGTTAATTTAGTCTGTATCAACATGGATATCCTACTTGTCAGTGGAGCGACAACTAATGGGTTTTATCAAACTACCTACGTGTATAGTGAGTGTCATTGTTTGAAAAGTTGGCTTGCAAGGGTGCTTTCATCAGCGAATATTGTAATTTGGTAGTTCACTTTTTCAGTCGTGCTCCGATTTCCATCAGTCTTTAAAACAAGAATTACGATTAAATGGTTATTGACCGTGGGACTGTTGATAAGTATATATTTTAGCACAATTAAACCAGACTTCTCACATGACATATAATACCATTGAGTCCTATCTCATTTCATTCATTTTAAATGAAGATTCATTTAATCAGTGTACATAGATGACACAGTTCCGTTTGCTGGCGGGCAGCACTCTCATGAACACAGGGTAAAAATTCAGAAAATATTTAAATGTATTTCTTACCTCCCCGAATGTAACATGATGCTTCAAAACTGGCATATGTTGGCGCTCCATTTGATAATAAGGAGTCCAGTAGTTAAACACTAAGTATTTTGATCACCTTGAAAGTTCCATCAGTAATGGTAATCTAGTAGTAGATGAATTCTCACCACGAATGTGAAAACCTATTTTAACTTTTGCTAACTATCACATGTGATATACTTTGAAGCCTAACAAAAGAAATGCATATCTCATAACAATCCTCTTTGTTTTTTTGTGTGAATGTAAAGCAATGTAATATGCAATCATAGGTTTCTTTAAATAATTGTTCGTCTGAGGTTTGGTGTTATTATCAAATGAGCAACCTTGATCTTAGGCATGAAATACTAACCTTGATAAGGTTTTAAATCTTCACTAAGTGATATGGTTAGAGGTACGTGTTATACACTGTTTAGATTTTAACACAACACTAGTAATAAGTCAGTATCTTTCCAGTCATAATCGACGTAGACCCAGGTATATCTGTGAGCTGACCCACCATATTTTCACTACCCTAACTCAGTAGTTGGTCAGTCAACTAAAACGTAGAACCCGGCGCATGTGTGCATCGGTCTAAGTTGTCATACTCTATCAGCACAGCGAAATAAAAGTTGTCAGAGTGAGTTTTTCGCGAAATTAGAGCATACATCTTTGAGCTGCAGTGACGTATCTTCTTATTCAGTCAGACTGGATGGTTTAGAAATACAGCTTACAGTTGTGTAATGATTTTGTACTCTACATTTTTTATTGACATAGCAGTAAGTAATTTGATACTCCAAAATGCCCTGGTACGGCCGAGGGTGAGGAGAATCAGCTCTCCCTCTCAAAATGCTCTCATATGGTCACGTGCATACAACCACTGCCAGGGTAGTCCTACTCACTACCTTCTCGCGGCTGGGGTGTTGTTTACGAAATTGAGAGGACAAAAAGCGAATGTCTGGCGCTTTAAAGGAGTCGGTGGATACGGAGAGTCCACCTAGAGGAGTTGGAAAACCTTGATTCCAAACCAATGGTGTACATGGGATTCAGGATCCTAAGGAAATAAATGGTATATGAACCTATTGTTAGTCACTGGCTACCATGAGACTACATCTCCTCACGTTGCTTCACTGCCTTGTGGATTAGACCTCTAGGTCAAAGGCTTGGTGTATGGGGCCTCCTTATATGAATAACTGCGCGATATGAATTTTTATCAGATTCCTTTTCTCATCATTTTAATACTGGTGTTCATCTACAAAAATAAATGAAATCTCAATCAGTATTATTGTAAGATTTATATATGCTTGTGCCCGAATAATTGATTTTCTTATTATTCTCGTGAAAATTCTAGGTCAGTTATCGATCCACGTGATGGTCAAAAAGTGGCACTCAAACGCATACCACGGGTTTTTCATAATCCTATTACAGCTAAACGTGTTCATCGGGAATTAAAAATGCTCTCTTGTCTTAAACATGAAAATGTAAGTCGAAATCAATGCATTGATGATTGTATATTAGATGTTAATCAAAGTCGTGTTGTAAATAATCGTGTTTATTTCGCATTAATATTTCATCTTTATATCAGAACGTGTATCTCCTATACATAAGTCTACCTTTATGTTGATTTAAACTATACGTGAATTATTCCATACGACTAACCCTTGTTTGGTGTATATTGTTCGCTCCACTTCGAAGAAAGCAAGAATGAAGTTTTGTGTAGAGCTTACTGGAACATTGATTTTCAGTCTTTGACAAATTTGTGTAAGAATTCCTGCATACTTTGCATTGGAGAGGTCTTGGATAGGTGGTGACATTTTTTCGACATATCTAAATATTCACTAATAGTATTAATCCCTCTTCTCAATTGTTCAATCAGTAACTTTTTTAGATTCAGATCTTGGTTTTTGCTCTCTCCAAAATAATATTTGCGAAAAAACCCTCGACGAACTTGATAATTTGACGTTGAGAAGTGGATTTATTCACCTCATTTCTACAAAATAGAATTGTTGATATTTTATTAGATAATTAGTTTAGGTGAACGTGATGTAGTTGAACGCCTATTTCCGTTCTAAAATTGGCCTCAATATTAAAATGAAGTCAATTTGATTTTTTCATCTTGTCAACAGTTGGTTTACCAACGTAGTCAGCATATATTGTTCATTGAACTGATAATCTGAAGGATCGTTGGTTCGAAGGTTACTTCTATTATATAAATAACTTTCTTTTAAGTTCTAACCATTCTTAAATTCAATATTAATTTCAATAGCTGTGATCTATTAAACTAAGAATATAAAGTTTTCGTTGCAACAGAACAGATAATGTTAATAATTCTAATATGGTATTGCAACTTGGATTAACGTATATTTGGACGAGTCTCTACGTTGATTATGACTTACCGAATATATAGTATTTTTAAACCACTACAGCAAAATACACTTAATGGTTGGTAGTATTCGAAATTTTGATAATTTTTTTTAGTTCAAATTGTTATTTACTGTAATAGTTAGAATGTGGTATTCACTGAATATGCTCCAAAGTTATCTGTGTTGAAGTATATGATTAATAGCGTCCTAAACACATTCTGCTAACAAACTAAAAGTCTCTGTGATTTATTAACGTGGGGAATTGTTTGCTAATTAAGTAGACTATAAGTCCAAACTCTTTCCACTCAGTGAAATTCGGTCATTTCGATGGTAGGAGATTAGCTTCGCGCACTTTGATTTGTAACCTAAAATAGTTCTCAAGTTAATTGTTATTTTATATTGCCACATTCTTCGTTGTAGTTATATTTAACATGATTAAAAAATATTTTTTCCTGGAATTAATTGTCTTCAACACTCAAACTACTAAAAATTTACGTGAAATGTTTCTTTTCCAATTTAAGTAAACTTTTGTGTCTTGAATCTAATTAGCTTGGTATTACTTTGTGTAACAAATTCTATTTCTTACTTTAGTTAGTAACTGGTTAATTATAGCTGCCTCGAGTATCGCCGGTGAACTTTTGTAGTACATCTATATATTTATGGATAAACAATGTATATTTTCTAATAGATAAATATAAAATTAATTTAAACAAGTTAGTTTTGATAATATGTGAATAACTAAATGAGTTTGGATATCCCAGACTCTGCGGAATCATTGAAATACAATTATAATTCGCTCAGACCACAATCCAGACGACTTCATATTAATACCGTTGAATAGCTTGGCAACATGTGGTTTAATTGAGCACGTGACTAATTGACTGACATACAAAACCAACTTAGAGCCTGGTATTAACAGTAGCATATCGGTCTATGTTTTGGATAATTTGATTCCATTTGAATTTGAACATTTTCCATCATGCTTCTAAACAGGGAACGCTTTAACTATTATATTTACACAGTTTTCTCTTTTGTTTGAAAAAACATGAGTAGTGTAAATTAGTTGTTCAAAAGCCTTTTCTAAATAGTTACTTACTACCTGTTACCCTTCATGAAGAGTAGGCCTCTGACCAGGATTCTCCAACCAACTCTGTTCTGGTTTTCTAAACGGTACATTAAGTTAACTTGATATGGGTACCCGTGAATATATATCCCATATGTTTTTCAGTGTTAAATGTATGTGTAATATCAGACATTTTCCCACTCATTTAACGAGTGAGGGCTAGATGGATATAAAAGCACTACAGTGGCGTGTTCATAGAAAATATGTGTGTAGCTTCAGATGACTGAAATGAAATCCGTTGTGAAATTATGCTCTTATATCCAGAACTCACCCATTAAATGAACGTGAAAAATCCTAGACTATACATTTACTGAACATTGAAACAAGTATGGTCAACCTCACACCTTAAATTCACTAGCATTTTTTATCATTTTGTTTGTTATATTTTGAAACAAATGGAATAATACATATCTTGTTTTGGTTTTCGTTTCAGATTGTAAATTTAATCGATGTAGTCAAATCGGAAAGTTATTTGAATTTCGAAGAAATGTATCCTTTCATAATAATCATTATAAATCATGGTAATGTTGTGATTATTCTTCTTACTGTAAGGACCAGTAATAAACTCAGCTTTATTTTCGCCGCTTGCATATTCTTCTGAGATGGATAATTTTAAGAATTAAGTAGTCACCAATCTAATGTTGTCTATCATGACAACAATGAAAATCTTGAAGTTACATCCATCATCTCAAGTATGAGAATACTACTAGTACTATACCACAATAATGAAATCTACAAATTTTCTGAATCACTTCAAAATCGTCTCCTGTTTCCACCATCACTGACTAATAAATTTAATCATAATTCATTTCGTGCTTTGTATTTTCTTTCCTATTTATTATTTAGCCTATTAAGTGTTTAGGTTTATCAAGTTGTATTGTATCGCTCTAAGCCTTGTGTTTAATGAATTATTATGCTACATAGTATATATAATTTGAAGGAGCCCTTCCTTCATAATAACAATAGCGCTTTATAGTTAATTCTACGTAGAAAACAGGGTTAATGTTCTTTGTCTTAGTTATTTTTGCCTTATTCTGAATTTTTATTTACACATCAACTGTACAAACAATATTTCGTATATAGATGAGACTTGCTTATTTATTCAAGTTTTTATTTTCTAATTTTAGTACTATGACTCATCCATTATATCCTGACAATCTATTCATCATCTTCACATGTCCTAAGGTCACGTCCTCTAAACCTCCATATAAATGAATATATGCATGCACATATGTATGAGTGTTCTCCATCCTCCCTATAAATTTGGTTTAAGGTCAACTGATTCTGATGTTTGGCTGCTTTTTCATCTGTGCCTTGAAAAAAAAGATGGTATGAAAATAGTGGTCTGATAAGCATCATGCTTTGTCCACAGTTTTCTCTTCTACTATTGGTTATTGTCGCCTAAGGAAGCTGTGATTACCTACTCATAATAATGATAATAAATATTATGCTTATTATTATTATTATCATGAATTGTTTTTAAATGTTGAGTAAGATTTCTTTGTTCTCAGAATGGGTTTTGTGGAGAGTTTTTTTTAGAAATTTCACAGGTTGAAATCATGAGTCGATTGAAGTTAGACCACCATGGAAAACCTGGAAGCACTGGACGGCCGTTTCGTCCTAGTGTGGGACTCAGCAGTGCACATCCACGATCCCGCACCACGCACCACGATTAGTATTTATTGTTATTACAATTATTTCTTTTCAACCATGTAGATAAATCCATAGTACTATACTATTACACCATCTATTAAAAACTGTATCTTACATAAATCACAACCTACCTGAAAACTATTCAACTGTAACTACTAAAACTATAAATCGATTCAATTCGTTTAATTGTGTTCATAGTAGCTAATTTGATCAAAGTTCATGGGTTACGTAATAAATAGTTTATTATATTGAACTAATTAAATTACAATGAAACATTAAATAGTTATAATTTATTATATATTTCGCATAGATTTTGAACTAACAAAGGTCATAGTGATGTTCTAGTTATTATCGATTTACTAAACGTTTTATTAATGCTTGTTATAATGTATCGATCACATCATATGATGACCAGATTTTGATTGTTTAAATAAATATATATATAATACATATTTATATCGGTAAACACAAAATGATCATTATTACTACATAATGAAAGTATTAATAGTGATGTAGATAACTGTTTTTTAGATGTTAGAAATAAGATTTGATAATATGTGTATTATGTGAGAAAATAGTCTCTTTATGTGAATAGATCTGTTAAATTGTAAATAGGAAAATATCATCTTGGCTCACACATAAATAATAAGAGAATCATATTCGTGATTTTTAAATAACAACTTTGTTTTTACATTGTTCTGGGTATGTTATGTAAATACCTAAATAATATTTAAAGGAATTCATCGGTTTATTTTTATTTGTTTCAAAGAATAATATATAAAAGATTTCTGTAAGCAATGATGGATAGTAGCTAGCAGTGGAATCCAGGACGCGCGTTTCGTTCTATTTGGGACTCGTCAGCTGGATGTACTTGCACCTCAGAGTTGATAACAGATTGATCAACTGCAGTCTTAAACCTCAATGGGAAGATACAAACCAAATAATACCAATTGAATTGGAATTCACCCCATTGCACAAGCAAGTGGCTATCAGAACTCAGTAGCTGAGTGGATAACGCAATGGCGTTTGAAGCGAATGGTACTGAGTTCGAATTCCAGAATGAACATCAACTCAGGTGCAGGTACATCCAACAGACGAGTCCCAAATAGGATTACACTGCTAGCCACTATCCATCATTTCTTACAAAAAGCTTGTGATTTAAGGTAATATCGAGGCATACACACAGTATACACATATGCCAATAACAGACTAATCAATTTCAGTCTTAAACCTCAATGGGAAGATACAAGCCAAATAATACCAAATAAATATAAAAGATTTTGCTTTTATGTTCATCGATTTTCTCTATTCCGTAAAGTATAAAAAAATATGTTTGTTTTCTTCTTAACTAAATTAAATCGATATACTAATTTTCCAATTAGTAGTTAATTGAGCAGTTATGGTCAATTATTCATAGCTTTAAGATTTTGTTACTGTTATTGATTTGTTACAATTGACGCAATCATGTTTAAACTTGACTATGATGTACATCTTGAATTTTTAGCGGAAATGTTTATATTGTCAGTTAATTTACTTTTTTTTTTATTCATGATAAAATTATACTTCTGTAAGAGAAGAATTATTCTTTGTTATTAATAATGCTTAATAAGGGTATTTAGGTTTCAGTGTATACTTTTCTAAACAACCTGTGTATAGTAATTACCTTAACTAAATTATTGTTAATTATAGTTACTTTTTGTTTGAATTAATGCAAACGGATCTGCACAAAATTATTGTCTCACCACAGCCATTATCTTTAGACCATGTGAAAATATTTGTTTATCAAATATTACGAGGTAAGTCGATCTTTATTATTATTATTATTATTATTATTATCACCATTATTATTGATTAATATGTGTTGTTATCTTGCCAATATCGAAGAATAATGTATTACTTCTCACTGAGAAACGAGAACTGAATAAATAAATGCAACAGGAAATCATTTGCGATCGCTTCATCTTACTACAAATTATTATATTGAATAAATCAAGTATTACACAGTTAATATTTAAAAGTCTATCATGATCAATTGGTCATCGTCGTGTATAAAAAAATGATTACTTTCCTGAATAGCTCATCACTTATTATAGCACGTACTTATTACTAAATTGATAGTGATGGTCTGTTAACAACTAATGAATGTTTTAAATCACGTTGAAAATATCGTGATTTTCATTTGAATTTCTTCTATAACTAATTCTTTCGTGTTTTTACTCAATAATAAATAACCAAAATTCTTTGGTTAAAAGTGATGATAACAAGGCATAAAGTGGATCATTGGAAGATGTGGATAGGTGGAAGGACTAGAATGAAAAAAATCCTGATGCTAATGTTTTTTAACATCTTAAGGTAATGATAAATAATGAAGGCGGAGCGGTGGCTTAATGTTTAAGGTGTTTGACTTTTATCCATTAAGTCCCACCTTAAAATTCTGTTCAATTTACATCGGCTTCGACAATTGAACAATATCATTGGCACTCACATGTGGAGTGTCCAAATCCAAGTACCTTTTGAATGAGTTAATTAAGACAATGAGCATTTGTATACAACTTAGTCTTTACTCTATAAGCAAACCTGATTTCTGCATCCCTTGATCTCCTAGTCTGTTTATTGGGTTAATACTCGAAATGTGAATGAATGTGTGAGAATAATCTAGTTAAACTGGGTTAATTTTATAATTGGTAACTCTTAAACTAAACATAATAACATAAATAATTTAGTGCAGTAATTTCACGACATAGGGAACCTAAATAGATCTCAATTCTTTATGGCTAACGTTTGTTAAAATCTATTAAACTGAATTCAAATACGTAGCAGATTCGGTAAGGTTGTTGATCTTTTTATTAGTTTTTGCCATCTGAATACTTCTCATCAATTTTTCGTTATCATGTAGTTTATTGAATAGAAAATGTAATTCAAAACTCATTTATTTTGTGTGTGATATATAGCATCAAGTAACTAGAATTTTCCACATGGAGGACATATTAGATCCTCTGTCATTTATTTATAGAATTACTGTAGTCTACGTGTTTATCTCATTACTTATTCATATTTTATCTAAATGGGTATCAGATGATGTCTTACGATCAGTACTTCTACGTATGATTTTTGTTAATCATTCTGCATAAATATGTTTGTCATTCTCTAGAATGACTAATGATCTATACTCTTTAAGAAAAAGGGCGTGATTTGTGGTCTGGTGCATGAGACTACATTATCTTTATATAATTCATAAGCTCAGCCGTAAACACTAAAATACTGATAGAATGTCAGAATACTCATGCTGCTAAACACAACGATTTTGAATTTATTGTCTATTCTAACCTAAATGTTGATTTAATTGTTAACAATTAACACTTTTCAACATATAAACTGTACTTAGTTCATCTTAAAAGTGAAATGTATTGTTTAATTCAGTCCTAAGAAGAATAAATATTATTCGAGTGATATTTGTTATAATTTAATTGAAATAACTAACTACTTCACCAACGTTTTATAAAAGGATATTTCTATCTTTAGATTAACCTCTATTTCAGTGGTTTTTTTCCTGTGTTTCTCTTTTGAAAATATGATCATTTTGCTTTGTTTTTTTTTACTTACCTTTCCCATTATTATATACGGGATACATAGGTTTAAAATATCTTCATTCAGCTCGGATTATACATCGTGATATTAAACCAGGAAATATGTTGGTCAATTCGAACTGTCTGCTAAAAGTAAGCAGATAACAATTTTTCTTGTTTTCTATCAGTACAATCCATAAATTTCGTTAGATATTAGTGATTACATAATGACTGGAATATATTTTTTTGCTCATTGTTATGGAGAATCGGTTTAATGGTTAATACATGCAAATTTCAACGACTGAATTGAATGATTGGAAACCAGTTGAATAGTATCACATACTCTTATAAGTGTAAAGCAAAGTGGAGCACAAGAAACGGTACTTCATTTTGGAACTTTATTATTTAGTTTTGCGGTTTTCTTATTACTGTTAAGCTTTGTCCTGTTATCATGACTTAAATTCTCTATTCACTATGTTACTTGGGATTCAATTATATTAATCAATTATAAAGTTAGCAATAGAATATTTGTTTATAGTAGTCTGAACAAAGTCTGAAATGATTTTGACTTATCGTTAGATTGTAATTATTCTATTCCACTAACTATGCGAACTTAATCTACGTTTAGTGTGTGTGTGTGTGTGTCTGTGTGTGTAACATCCTCATCAAGTAATATCCACTGTCAGTAAAGGTATCTTAATTAGTGGTAGAATTAATCTTTGAACTACTGTGACGTTATTTGTAAGGGTTTTTTGTCAGTGTTGCTGATGTTAAGGATTGAAATTGGTCAGTTCCTATTGGTATACGTACTTTCAGAGCGGATTGCCTCGATGTTTTCTTTTAATTACAAGTTCTTAGTACATTTGTTTTGTAGGTAACAGTGAAATCCTAGGTGTGCATTTCTTCCTACTTGAGGTTTGTTATCTGGTTCAGCAGCTTATTGAATAACGCGTTGCCATTTGAAATGATAGGCTCTAGTTTCAAGATCATTACCGTTATATAAATCCATCAAGCTGATGAGTCCTAAATAAGATGAGAAGCACTCACAAGATAATTCCAGTATTAATCTCAATCAAAATATACTACAAACTGTGGCACTGGTTCTACAGCTTCCATTACTCAGTGCTCGTATTTGTAGTTTTAACTAAAGTATAATATATAGTTTACTTATGATATATATATATATATATATATATATATATCTGAAACCCAGATAATGTAGAGAAATGAATTTCTGAAGTTTCATTATCTTATTTTTGCGATTCCTTTGAAGAATGAATAACCTTGTTCAAGCTGACAATGGATGAAATAGGAAAAGGGGTGAATAAAATCACGAAGCGTGATGAATATATATTTAAACAGGCACAAAATCCCAATTGCTGTGCTATTGTCATTTAGGATATAAATGATAGCCCATCATTAACTGTGTTAATACCTGTGAATAGTTACTAAATCTGAGATCTAAAGTATTGATGAATCATTTTACATGTCACATACATTTGTATCATAAATCTTATGAGGATGGAAAATGAGATAATCCGGACTTATGGTTCTATTACAGTGAAATACTATACTGCGAATATATTTACTGTTAACATTAACGGTCATTGAAGATAACATCTCAATATATTAATTAGTCAGATTAGCGAATATTCTTATTCTATAAGGCTTCAGTAAAGTCTTTCTTTATGGATTTTAATTCTACATAAGAATATTTACAATATAGGCTGAATTATATTCTCGACAACTCACTATGTAGACACAGTTCTGTGTATGAGCTAACAGTAATCTGTTTTGATAAAAATTAAATCATCATTTCACCATTCTTTAAGAATGAAATAATTGTCAGTTTACAAATTTCTTCTAATCAAATAGTTAGAAATCGGTAATTTTACAATAATCATTCGCACTTTGAAGTATCAATTCACTACTCAAATGTTCTGTCACTCGTCTACCACGTAGCACCAGGCACACATACATCGGTCTACGTTACCATACCTCATTAGCACTATACGATGAACACCAGATTCATAGAAGCAGTTATCTCAATGGTAGTACTATATAAAAGAAAGATTGCATATAAGGATATAATGCAGGAAGAAAAAAATGATTCGAAGAAAAAAAGGTATAAAGTGATTTTAATCTTACGGTTCAAAGGAAGACAAAGAGTGTATACACCTACGCGATTGTGATCGATTCTGAGCCATGTCATCCAGAATCTCTAACCACTGGTTACGATAGTCGCTCGGACTCCAAACAAGTAGTCTCAAATAGAATATCTCCTGACATGTTACTGAAGATGTTTTCAAGATGACCCATTCATTTTTCGCAATAACAAAAATGTATTATTCAAATACATTATCTGGTAACACTGAGGAAGTTTAAATTTTTATATTCAAAAGTTATCAACGTTTGTTGTTTTATTCACTAGTTCTTTGTTACTAAATGTGTGAATCTTTCAAATTTGATTAAAAATCTGAACTAATTTAATAGTTAATTTAACAATTTAATAAATAACTGTTTGATTAATCATTATTTTAGTCAGGCGCTTTTCTTTTCCTTTAATTTAATCATATTTTTTAATTCTATATAGATATGTGATTTTGGTTTGGCACGAATTGATGATCCATTTGGAGAGGCTGTTCTTACACAAGAGGTTGTTACACAATATTATCGATCGCCGGAACTACTTATGGAAGCAACACGTTATTCATATGCCGTAGATATTTGGAGTGTTGGATGTACTTTTGCTGAACTATTAGGTCGACGTATTCTATTCCCAGTAAGTAAAATAAATTTGGTTTTATCTAGTTGATATAACTCATTTATTAAGTTGAAATTTGTGTACTCGGTTTTTATGAACACCATACTTCGATTAATTAATGGGGATATTAATACTACTAATCGACAATTCAAACTGTAATAAATGGACCAGGGATCAAACTCATTATTTGAAAGTGGGATTTTCCTAACCACTAAGCTACCATTTTATTGTCTAATGACAATTATTTTCCTTTTCTTTCATAAATCTGATCATTATTTTCTCATGAACTGGTATGTAGATGTCATTGTGGAATTTCATTTTATCAATTAAAAATGACGTAATAAAATGAAAGATATAGAATTTTAAAGTTTTACTGCCTTAAGTATATACTCTATGGTTTGATAAACGAAATGCATGATGTGTGAAAGCAAAAGATACGTCTAGGCTGCAGGATTTTGGTCACAGGCATCGTCTAACCATAACTCATGCTTCGTGGAGCAACCAAGTAACCAATGTTGAGGTTAGGATGTATAACCTTTAATTTTTGTAGGGAGAAAAATATACTTTTAGACCACTGAATCAGAATCTGTTAGTTCACATCCCATCTTTAACCATCACTAAACCTGAGGTGAAACCAGTGGCCAATGTTTCTCTGGTTAATGTCAATACTGATTGGATGTTCACTTCAATTTAAACAATTTTTTTCATAAAGCTTACCATGAATATCTCTAATTTAAACTGTGTGTAATATATGCATTCCTTTCTAATGTTTATCTAAAAATGTACACCACTTTCTGTGTGTCCATACTAACGAATTATTCATTGAAGTAAAATCCCAGTGAGTTTTACTTCTGTATTTACATTTCTTATAGTTTTTTTATGAAGTTATGCGCTCTGTTTCCTATTCTCCCTTATTATATATATACTTTTGTGTCCGAAGCGATGATGGGAATTACTATTTTTCTTCCTTTCCTTCAACTGATTTATTGATCGAATAACCTTAGTCATCGTTATCATCATCATTCTGTTACTATTATTATTGTTGTGTTGTTTATGATGTCAAAAATCTAGCTTATTCTATCAGGCCTTAAAATGATCACTTTTTTCAAGTTCATATGTTTGTTTGTTTATTTATTTCTCTTCTATCCTTGTACATGTATATAAGTGTATGAAAAAAATGTATTTCAATACAATATACATACATACATGCGCATATTAATCTGTAAAAGAAGAGAAAACACTACTTTTATTTTTTTTCTAGTAGTACCCTCAAAGTATTTAAACCTATGAGATTAATGTCAGGAAGGGTGGTGTTTCTAAACCCTTTTTTTGTAGAACTGAAAAGTGACGAATATCTGTCCGAAGTCCATCGATAAGAAAGTACATACTTAGTTCACTACAAAAGCAAATCAACTTTCATAAATTATACAATAAATGAATGGACTGGTTGTCTTATGTATGTACATCGGCTTTTCTAGACTGATTAGATGATGAAATATCATGAAAAACTTAAAAGATTCAGTCGCAGTTTCATTACTCAACCAAACTTTATTATTAGTATAATTTCATGTGGATTGGAAGACTTTCACAGTTTACATCATAGACTGATCTTCAAAAACCCTATGCTGATAATAATCATGAGCTCATTAGTGACTAGCTTCATAATGTGATTCTTGGAATTCTAGTTAGAAACCGTGATCAGTGAAGTTCAGCTGTATAATGTGTGTGATAGTTATTCATCACAGGCAGTGGAAGATCGTCGTGCAATATCGTGAATCGACTGAAGATAAACATATACACTATTAAACAACCGATTCAGTGACCAAAAGGTTATGCGAAATAGAAGGTTCTAAGTCTGGTTCCCTGTGGAAGGGTCTTAAATCCATACTGCTGAGGAGTCTCACATTAGGACAAAAAGGCTCCGGTACTTCTTGGTTTTTAGTAGTGGTCTAGCTAAGGTCAATTCGTGATGCAATCCCTGGTGCATGTAATGTGTTTTTGTCTATCAATGATTGAATTTAAAGTCCCGCTATTGCTTTGCATCTATAAATTTATAGTTATGGTATTCAAGTATTACATTTTTGTCAATTATTGCGTTTGAATATCTGATATTTCACTTAATACTTGTAATATTGTCGAATCAGCCTAGACTAGAAGTTAGTCACTCTCATTTAAATATTTTATTAACATACTATGCAACGAATTACCAGTTGTTCATTCACTAAAGTATTTCATCGATCGGTTTTGTTGTCATTAAAAGAATTAATATGAATTTATGGGTATTTGATAATTGATTTCTACCTTGTATGTGTATGTTTGGGTATAGCGATACGAAATAATAATCTTCCCTTTACCAAACTGGTAACTACTGCCGAAAACCATTAGTTGAATAATTCATGAGCTTTTGAGTGGAATGATAAATGTGTTTGTATATCATGTACTCTAAACTACAAGGCACAAAAACATGTGAAGTAAACTAGATATTACCTGCTTCAGTTTGGGCACCCGGGCAGTATTCCAGCCCTAACACAAATGTCAAAGTGTGGTGCATATGTATTTGGTGCCTCCTTGTACCAATGTTTATATGTTTAAATAAATAAACTAGATATTTAGGTCAAATAATTTTATCACACGATACTTACACCAATATACAGTGTTAATCTGTATTTTCCAGTGACATATTAACCTTAAAATGTTTAGAAAAATACTTATTTGGTTTTCATTCACTTCACACATCAGGTCTTTATATTTGTTTTATTTAATCGATTTCTGATTGTTACAGTTTTTTGTGCAAATACCGAAACTTAAATCATTATTACATAATATAATAAAAGTATAATATAGAGGTGAGCTTGAAAATTCTTGAAATGACTGATCGATTTGAAGCCACTTTTCAGCCAATGAGTTTAGTCTGCATTTCATAGTGACAATGATGAAACCAGTTATAGTTTAGTAATCTTGTAACGTATATTAGTTTTACAATAGCAATGACTCTGATGCATTCACATTTTATTTTCCGCTCGGTCTTGAATTCCAGGATTCCTTCATATATCACCTTAGTTTATCTTGTTAAGACCGTATTTTCGATATTTAGTCGTAATTTCACTGGTTTTACGTGGGGACCCAAGCAAAATAAGCGGTTTTCTTGGAAGACCACTTCAAGAGGTTATATTCTCATCCAGTTCCATGGTAGTTGGTGACCGGCACACGTTCATACGCCGTTAGGTCCCTCAGAACTCTGAAGCCTATCTACACCATAGCCTGGTTTCCTAACTCTCAAAGGTAGTCCCCCTGTATCCACCAACGCAGTCTAAGCACCGAACGTCTTTTTTGGTCATCTTATTCCCGTTTGAACACCACTACCACGTGAAGGTAGTGAGTGGAACTTCCTTGATAGAGACTACAGATTAATTTAAGATGAAGGATTTGAGACATATTATTTCGTCTTAGTAGAACTCGTGTGAGTAGCCAACACGCAGGTTTTATTTATATCTTTAGGTTCTTTTTCATCAAAATTAATTATTTACACCTAATTTGTCTCAATTTATTCCTTTTTTCTAGGCTCGAAGTCCTTTAGAACAATTAGAACTGATTATTAATCTTACTGGAAGTCCTAGTCCTGGAGATTTAGAAAGTTGTCATCCAGATGCATGTTGTTTTGTACTTTCATCAAGGTTACGTGATCCCAATCTTTCTATTCTTTATGCTCTTACACCTGATGTGAATGAATTAACTGTTCATCTATTGGGTAGTATGCTCAAATTCAATCCGGTTAGTTGAATAACATTAATATGGAAATTTTCTACTATATTTTAATTTTTTTATTGATAAACAAACCAAACATGTATGGTAAGTTCAATATCGATATCCATGTTTCGATTGTTTGAAATGAAAATTTACTAGGTTCACGCATAATCATTTAGTTTTTTTCAGTGGACCGTCTTATGAAAACGATAAACATGTAGCTGTTCTAGGTTTTAGTTTAGTGAGTTTCGTCTGCCTCTAGTTCTTTTGCAGCAAATCCATTTGAAACAATAATATTAATGGTACTTACTTTAAGTTCAATTAAACAAATGACGAATGCTAGCTCACGTATTAGGATAATGTTGAAAATTATGGATTTCGGTTGTTAACTATTCACCTGAAAATCTAAATCATCACTCCTAACTTCTGAATTTATCTAAACTAGTAGACTTTATCTCAGGTGGATTGATAAGCTTTCATTTTCAATGCAAATAAACTTTCTTACTGGAATATTGCATACGTACATACATTTCAGAAATGTAATATGCACACACACACACACTAGTACTCATATGAATAGATTTTAAGCTAAAATCCATGTCAGTGTAAGCACAACTGTATGCTGTTTCAAAACGTTAGGAGCCATCAAATGTTAGTACCTGGTTGGCGAATCATAAAAACCCAGCTATAATATCTATACAAAAGTGTCAATCGAAAATCTAATCTACACATAGACCAATAAACGTTCAATATAGGCTAACAATCGTAACGCAGAAATCATCGGTACCTTTCCCAGTCTCTTTAAAATACAGACCCAGAAAAACTTATCAAATACCATTGTTTCGAGAGTTGTTTTTTCTTCTTTAAGTAAAATTGCCAACATCAAGACATTAAACAGTATTTAATATTATTTATTTGAACATGGAAGTAAATAAACATTCGTATCGATATCGGTTAGTAGGATTGTTTTTTTCTCCGTCTGATCCATCGATCGACTAAGCGCGAATGACGCATTTTTAGACATGTCCATTTTTGTTAGTAGATAGGTCTGTCTATGTTTAAGTGTGTTTATGCAACTAAATATTGACTACAATTATCATCATTCACATTCACATCACTCTTCCAATCCATTTGAATGAGTAGTTACAATATTTTGTTGTTCCACTCGCCTACACACACACACATTCTCTCATCATCCCTCAAGGTTTGGAGATTGAGTATGCATCCTTATTTTTTTTATTCAGTCTGAATCTCATGAGTATGTTATTGTTATTGTCGTATTATTATTATTATTATTATTATTATTATTATTATTATTATTATTATTATTATTATTATTATTATTATTTGTTATGTATACACAGGATAAACATGTTCACATTTTAGACTAAACAATTATTGTTACTGACTGACTAGATCTTAACGACACACTACTACTGTATAACCTGATGTTATTTTTTTTTATTGAAACCTTTCCAGCTTAATAGAGTGTAGTTTAGTTCTACTCAAGCATATGGCGACAATGATCGACATATTTGTGTGTAGTCAATTTGTAATCCTAAATCATATATAATTGCACATATGGTTAACTATTTCACAGATACACTTTCAAAAGTCATACTAACGAGTTACTAGTTATTTTTGCCAGGGACCTGCTTAAAATAACCGCGACGAATTTTCAGCCAGTTCTTAACTAATCAGAAACAGGTTTTGTAAATCGGATAGATAATGGAAAACGAGACAATAGTATTACCGTGTAAACAGACGGCATCTTTAGTATACCCGCTAAAGTCTTCTACAAGCTAACCTACTTGTAAATTGAAAAAGTTTAGATTATCCGTCTTCCCGAATCCTCATAAAGATCCAAACAGATTTTTGTAAATGTCCTCCTAGTTGTTCTTAGTTAGGATTAGATATTTATGGTAAGGATTAAAGGTTTAGGGTTATGGATTTTACCACAGATGGATTTAACGCTAAAAAGCAAGAGGGGTTGTCTGTTTAATTTGTCCATAAAAATAATGTTAACAGTGTTTGTTTCAGAATTAAAGTTTACGATTAGTGTTGATTTGTCTTTTACAATAGTATGTGGCGAGAGAATTGAATATTTATCTCGTTTGCCATCATCATATTTAGTTTTAGTAGGCAAAAACGTATTCCTACTTCTTGTCGTTAAACATGAAATTTGGATTTCACTTAAACACCTAAAAGTCGGGTTTCTTAGCTCTGATTGACAGGTCCCTATACTATACTATACTTTTACCGTTATTTTATTTTGTAAACATTCCCATCATTCAAATATACCAACACATTTTATTCATTCTGCGCCTAGTCTATTTTCCATCGAAAAAATCTTACGTATTCAATAGACGGATATAATTTTCCTAAAAGTATCTGGGGTATAGATTTCAAGTCATAATATAAAGCTGGTTAGTGCTTAATTTCTTGTTTTTTTTGGGTGTATTACATTAACTCATTCACCAGACACTTGAGTATAAGCCACTTTCTAAGTGCTAGGGCTAATGATACTACTACCTAGTCACTCAGACCAAAGTAGGTAGAGCTGGGTTCGATCCTGAGACTTCGTGGTTGAAAGTCGAACGCATCAACCACTAGGCAATCACTTCACTAAATTGTCTTGTTTTTCAATGCATTTTTCTTCTGTTTGTGTGTGGACAGCTTCTGCATCGGTTATACTTATTTTCATGACCTTCATTTCTCTGTCGTGTATTGAGAGAAATTTTATGATAAAGATGTTTTTCTTACAACTATCTATATTATCTATTATTTCTACCATTTTGATAACTGACTAATTGAATAAAATGTTTCGTAAATATTGTCACAAAACGCTCCTCACATGAACTATTTTCCTCACGATAATCTCATACAATTCCATCACTTTTCTGTTAAAGAACATTGAATGTTGTTTTGTCTGAAACGAAGTTTTCTATTTAAAGTCGATTTATCATTCAATTATTTTGTTAATAAAGTCAAATGATAATTTTTAATATCAACATATCGTAAATTACAAGTTATTGTTTTTTCCATTGTAGTAAGTAAATTTTCCAATCTTAAAATGCAAAGACAAACAATTTACTTCATTTTAAAAATATGTCAGTTTTTTCTACACAAAAATATGTATTACTTAAACATAGTGCAAACTTTAACAAAATTATGAGCTTGTGGAGATAGTTGAGTTTCATTGGAATTAGGAACCGATCTAAGAGAGATTTTTGGTCTCGCATTTGAACACCTAACCCTTAAACCAATGAGTTGAGATCCGATTCTTACATATATATAAAAATGTTTTTCACTTTTAGCGTCAGCGCATTTCTGCTACCGATGCATTAAATCATCCATTTCTGGAAGAAGCACGTCTACGTTATCATTCATGTATGTGTTCTTGTTGTCATGATGTCACATTGAACTCTGTCAATGATGATAATGTTCAAACAACAGCTGGATTTTGTTGTGCTCCATCATCATCAGCCTCATCATCATGTGCTTCATCATCGACTCCGTCGTCTGATTCAATACAAAGTATTAATGGAAAATGTGTGCATAGATATGAAGCGAAAACTGCTGCTAATGCTATGCCATCAGGTAGTGGGAATTCAACATTTTCTTCTAATGCTACTAACACCAGTGGTCCTACACCTAGAAGACGTTATTTTCATGATCTTGATCCAATTTGTTCAATTCTACTTCCACTTGATTTAGATTCAGGATTTCGTCGTCTCTCCGATGCTAAACGTAAGTTTATTTGTGGAAAGTCAAAATGAACAGATTTATCTAAAAAACAAATGTCACTTTTAAGTGATTATTTTTTAAATCAATTAAGGAGGATAGCTGTAATCATTTGTTTTGTCCTATTCCGCTAGTGTCTCAACCAGTACATACTACTTCATGCATTAGATTAAATCTATCAAATGTAGGTTGTTCAACGAAGACGTGATATTCAGAAAAATTAATGTGTATCCAGTAATTATATATCTAGCTTTATTAAGCAATTATCAAATTACTGTCAAAATGTTTGTTTGTACTAGTCAACCGATATAATTTTAAGATTTGAAATTCAAAAGTGCCTATGCTGTAGTTCGAAGATCTTACCAACAAGTACCGTTTTAATTAGCACTCTTCATTAAAAGAAATTTCTTGCATATGGAAAAGGCTTCGTGTGATCTAGGTCTCAGCTGAGGAAGGCAGAGGACCCTAGGTGTCAAAATTTTTTAAATATTACTATAGGAAGATTTGTGGAGATTATAGAATTTTCGTTGTTCAACTCACGAGCTGATCTTAGACCACTACTAAAAACGTGGAAGCACTGGGCGGCTGTTTCGACCTAATATAGCCAATGGTCTAGAGGTTAAGCGTTTGTACGCGAGGTTGTAGGTCTTGTGTTCAAGTCCCAGGTTCATGGCTGTGGATGAGCACTTCTGAGAAGCTTTATACAAAGATAGAAAAACCTTCCAGATATTTAATGGTGGTCTTGCTAAGACCATTTTTCTGCTTTTTCAAATAATCGGGCCTTTAGGTATTTGAATTCACGACTCACCTTTATATATATTATATATATTTAGTCGATTACATATTTGTTTATAAATAATTATCATCGTCTTTTTATTCGTATGAATTGCTTTTTGCAAATTACGGTAACAGGTGTTTTATGGGATGGTATACAAGAATATTATCGTCGAGATGATCGGTTAACAAGGGTTGTGCTCAATCGAAATGCTGCCAATTACAACAGTTTTATTAAGTAAGTATTTATCATTTCAACTGTTTACAGTGTGTTTTGATATTGAAGTTTCGTGTTCTAGACGAAACTTTATTCCGCAATGAAATAATTCTTAACCTATAAACATGTCTCTTAGAATTCAGCTTAGCGATAATGAAACGAATAATATGTCCAAGGAATAACTAGAAAAGCGTTTGTCAGTCATCAAAGTGATGTTCAACCTGATTTAAATTATAATATCGAAACACTTGTAAAAGTAGCGGTGATATTTACCATTGATTTGAATCAAAAGTTTATTTATTTATTTAAACACATAAACATTGGTACAAGGAAGCACCAAATAGATATGCGCCATATAAATCATTTGATTTATGTTGAGGGCTGGGATACTGTCTGGGTGCCCAAACCGTAGCAGGTTAACAATAGTTGATGGATATCCAGAAACTCATCCCGTCAGGTGCAGAACATGATAAGGGTGAAAGACAACAAGATAGAATGATTAGTGGCCACATTGCAACTTGGTCTATAGGATTCGATCTGCAGTAAGAAGGACCTGACATACATGACATTAATCACCACGTAGTGATCAATCAATTGTAAATAAATCTCAGCCCTACGAGAGGTCAGTCGCGGCCTGGATAGCCAAGTGGTAACGTCTCTGACTGTGAAGCTGGGTGACGCGTGATCGAATCCGTTAGGGAGCACCAATCCCCTTAAGATTACAGGTACACTTTGCTGACGAAGGCCTAGTAGCACGAAACTTAGGTCCAACGTTTCCTGCTGACTACCTCCAATCACCATCGTAAATAGGTATCAAGAATTTGAGAGCTAGCGAAAATATTTCTGATAAAGATAGGACAATAATTCACTCTTAGGTAAGATGATTGAAAACTTTGAAGATTATTCAAACTAATCTGCAGCTAATCCACCCGCGTTACACATTCTACTACCGCTAATGCTGTTACCACTTATACCACTCTGACATCTCGCTGTACTGATGTGGTGTGGACATTTCAGTCCCAGGTCTCACGATGCGTTTGGCTGACTCACTGATGTTTCTATAACGCAAAATCGAAAGTAGTCCAATTCTCCGGTTTACAGTGATAATTTAATTTATCATTATGCTTAAACCACCGTGATTGTTGTGATGGTTTTTTTCTTTCACGATGTTCGCTATGTAATAAATTGTTACCATTTTGTGAAATTAATCACCTGTTTCTTGGACGTTGTATTTTTGTCTGTTTTATTTGTTTCTTTTCTCTTCTTAAAAAAAGTGCTTAGATTTAACTTAGTGCTTGTGTAACGCTTTTTTCACTCACTTTTTGAAAGAACGAGACGTTGTTTTGCATATTCTGTGTGAAAAAAAATATATACCTTGTTAGACTAGACATATATTATCTTACTACCAAAAAAGACAGACTTTCTTTAACGACATATGTGTATGAATTACAACTATCTTTGTCTGATATATGTGTGTATATATGAGTGAGAGGACATTAGATACGAATTTTGATCAACAGTTGAATTCACTGTCATTACATTGCATGGTGTGGCCTAAAATTATTATTATTACTGCGGTTGTACATATACGTCTATGCCTGAGTATACATATGGATATTGGTACATTTTTTTCTAATGTTTCAATCAGTCTGTTCGACATATCACTTTTTGGGAACAATAAAAAACTTTTGATTATCAAAGTTTACTATATAGTAAACTTAATGTTGAATTGAGCAAGGCCTGAATTTGAAAAAAACTTGAATGAAAAGATATTCTAGGTATTGCTCAAGACACTGGATACTGGCTAGCAGTGGGATCCTCGAAGATGACTCACCTTTTATTCTTTTTGAGTCTGGCGAGCTGGATGTACTTTTATCTCATTGTTGTTATTCTTACTGGGATTTGAGACCAATTACCTTTTAAGTCCAACCGTAATATAAGTCATGAAAGGATTGTATACACTTTTCCGGATTAGCCGTAAGTAGTAATGTAATGTTACTGATGATATTCTGTTTAATGTATTATTTTCATCGACTAATTCAGTCGGGTAGTTATTCGGTTGCAATTTGGAAGATTAGACAGTTGATTTACATTAGTTATGTTATTAACATCGATTTGTTCACTTATTTAATTTGCTCTAATCGTTTCACTTTATTTTGGAAAGTGTAAAAAAATATTTAACGCTTTTTTAATGTTTATTATCTCCTTCACAGTTCTTCAGTTGCACAAGCCAAAGAAATCCCTGCTAGTCATCGTTGGCATTAATCGTCAAAACTAGGCAATTACTCATAACGGTTTATCAATATACATGTATCAAGTCGAAATTTGTATGTAACCATTTTGTAAGGTATTTTAATGATAGATGCTGTTTTTTTTCTGAAAACGTGATATTTTTCTGATCAAAAAATCACACTGATTGGTAATTGTCTTCCAATACTCTATTAAACTACAACAGAAAACCAATAATACACATAGAAAAATGGTGCTTTCCTCCCTATTAGCCATTGTCGCCCACCTTCATCTACTTCACATCAATTTTTAGCGAGAACATAGGACACAGTATGAATATGGGAAAACATTGTCAGAATACTCACCATTTTATTTACTGTCATCTTTATATACATCCATCTGATCGGATTTATAGTTGATCACCCTCTGCTTTACATCATCAATATTGTTGTAATTTCTTAATATGGTATTTTATTACTTACAAAAACAAACACTTGTTGTCACTGTCTTATTTTTATTGCTTTTATGCCTCCATTTTAATAATTGTCTGAAAGTTTTTGTGCAATTTCTTTTCGCTTGAATTTTCTTAGGTTTAATTTATTTCCGTATATGTATGAGTATCATTTTGATGTGTTCTTTAATATTATTTTTGAAACAAAACATTAATTATTGTTAGTTGTCTGTGCTGTGCTAGTTTGTGCTTTCGTTTATCTCTTTCACCCATCGACCCCACCTAACACGTTATGTTATTATCACCATGATCGCCATTTGTTCTTTGTTTTATTTATTTTTCTTTGCATCACAAACAATCAACAAAGTTATTTGATTTCATTTTTAATTAAAAAGAGAAAGTGTTACACGTAACGAAACACATAAACTCATGCACACACAAACTTGCATTCGCTTCTTACTAGTTTTATAATAATCGTATAGGCTTTAGTTCATTATTCAATCATGCCAAAAGAGCTTTCTTTATTTTTTTCCTTTATTTGTTTCACTCTAATGTTGCAATACTGTGTGTCTGTGTATGACCCGTTCTTGTATTTTTTTAGGTTAAACTAGTTTAATATTTATTGACTTTCTTTATCTCTCTCTATGTGTATGTATAGGACAATTTGACTCTAATCAAATCCAAGTACATACACAATACTTAGTTTCGTATTATTGAAGCAGGGAAATACTTTTGATTGCTTGTTTATGAAGTTGGAATTCCTGTTTCTTTCTCTCTTTCTGTGTATGTGTGTGCATCGTAGCTCAGGTTTGAACACAAAAATTTGCACGATTCAAAACTTTTCCACTAAGAAAAAATAACTACTAATTTCTTTTGTTATAACAAGTAATATTCACCTCATATGATATTTTCATGTTCAGGATTATTCAATCAAATCAGTAAATGAGTACAAATATTCTAAACAGGTAGTTTTTTCTATAAAAAGAACAAATCCATTTTCTTCGATTATCTCTTCTTTTGCTTACATAACATAAATATATCATGTACAACCATTTATTTATTTATCCATAGTATGTGTCCAACACTCAATCGTAATTCATTCAAATTAATAATCTCTAGTACACAATACATGGTCTCTTTCCCTATACATATATATACCTATCTCATGTCGCATGCCCTTTTTTTTATTCAAAATTTTACGAATACATTTTTACAATAGGCGCCCAGTTAGTCAACTTCCATCTGGTCTTCATTTTGACTCTACCACTACTACTACTACTAATACGTATACACTATTATCAACAATATAAATATTAACAACGACTGTTTGTGTACTGTACTGCACTACTTATCGTTATTTCAAACCTATATGTTGATGTTCTTTGATAATTACGACGATGCAATATTGTAACTATATTTCGTAATTAATGGTTTGATTATGTTGCGTTATGATTATTTTCTTGGCTTTTCAATTTTTTAAAATTAATAATCATTTAACTACGAAAGTTGTCATTAAAAACTGTGAAATTTTTTACACATGGGCAAACTGTTTGGTCTTTCGATATTTATATTTCTTTCTTTACGCGATTGGATCGACTTCAGTGATATGGTTATGTTTATTGTTATTACTACTAATACTACAATCGTTTTTATGGCTACTACTACTACTACTCATATACAATTAATAACGGAGTTTATTCAATACTAAGGGAAGAAGTAAATGTAAGGTAATTTTAGCTGTATCTCTCTCTCTTTCTGAATTAATCGTTGTGCAGGTTTTGCATTTTGTTTTCTATTTTTTTTTGTTTGATTTTTTCTAAATAAAAGAACTAGGTGGTTTTTCATTTTTATCTATACGTATACCTCCAAGTTTCTTCATATGTACTTCCCGTGCACTGTGTGTGTGCCACTGTGTGTTTATGCGAATCTTCTTTGACCGAGTTCACTTCTTATTTACTTATTTACTTGTTTATTAATCTCTGGAATGTGTTGAAGGTCAACTAACCACGCATGTCTTCAATTTCACACCTTGCACTGCTACTTTGTACACATCACTCTTTTCTAGTAAAGTAGTATGGATTAATCAATCATCATTGTTATCATCATTACTATTATACATATGTGTGATTTATGACTAGTTTTTTGCTAGAAATGTTTTGATGTTATTTTTTTTTCTTCCCCTTCTCTCACCTCTTCATTCTCTTTTCTTAATATAAACGATGTAGTTTACAGAGTATTTTCTACTTTATTGCTGTTTCGAACATGTGTTGGTGAAAAATGGAGAAATATTTCCTGTTATTGTTCTTCTTTTCACACACACACACATAGAGCCTTATGATGATTACCAGTATCAAAATATGTACAGTCGTATACATTACTTCTACTGCTATACTACCTATACACCAATCTAGTTAGGAGTAAACCACTGAATTTTTTTTACAACTGATGTTTTTTGATAGTCATTCTTTTTTTAAAAAAAACTCGATGTTGATCATGTGTAACAGTGTTCTCTGTGTGTACGTGTGTATTTTACTCATAATTCTCATTGTTGTTTTTGTTGTTATTGCCTTTGTCATAAGCTTTTTCTTAAAGAATTTTTTCTGTGAAATTCCTTGTACAGTTATAATAATAATAATGGTAAAAGCCAAAAATGATTGCTACTACTGATAATTTCGTTACGCGTTACATGATCTGATGTCTAAAAAATCAGAAAATTTGAACGGCAAATCTGGGATTAATTTTTTTCAGAGTACTTATAGGTGTTGCAAACATACTGTTTGTTTTTATATGCACAAACCACAGTCATTTCTGTGTGTGTCAACGCTTACATATAATAATGATGGTTATCTAATCAAAGTATAAATAGCAATCATTAGGAAATTATCATGTGTTCCGCTGCTTATCAATCAGTGTAATCATTACATGAAAAATGATACTTCGAGTCGCTTAGTTATGATATAAATAACTACGTCTTCGATTGTCTTCACATGATCAATCTTACTGTAGTTTCCGAAGAAATGGTTGCACAATACTGAGTTATTTGTTCATCTTATCATTATTTGCAGGTTGATTCTGTGTCTGTAGGAAACACTAATAAATATTGAGAAATAAATTCCTGAGTTAATCACATAGTGGTACTCGGTACGGGACCGTACTTTCCTACACTTAATCGGGTGTAAGGTCTGTAGTGAATATTTCTATAGGATTAACTTATGCCTGATACTCGTGGAGTATTGGTCACTGACCAGAATTTTCTATGCTGGGCTCTTCTTTCCATTTGTTGCTAAGTGCTATTCATTCTCTGTTGATAGTTACTCTGGCCGTCAGAAGGGGAGTAGGACTCATGATTTCGGCTTTCGCTGTGAGACATGAAGATCCTTCAACTCCAAGAGTAGAGTTTAAATTATTCTTCTGATTAGCATTTTCTTAGCAAGGTTGTTTTCTACGAGATAGGGTTCCCAACCTCATACCCAATTCTCCTCTATACAGGCCTACAACCGGTCAGTACTCGAAAATCAATCAGTTACTACGTTGCATAATATATAAAAAGAAGGAGCTAATAAAATATGTTGATGAGAAATCATTATTATAATAGTTATGTAAAAATCAAGGGACGAATGTTAAGAATAGGTAAAATACAAAAGCGGAAGAAATTCGAAAATAGTTTAAATATTTCTGAAGGCGTGGGTTTCATCGAAGTTTTGCTACAAACTCACTTCTATACTGATGGCCAAGTTAGCGAGATTGGTTGTACAAACTTCTTTTAGATGCAAAGGTTTGGTTTATGAACATGGATTCCAGTGGCTTCAGCAATATGCGTAATATATAAAATGGATAACTTTACTAGCTTTATTCAATTCTACTCGATGACCTGTGACAACCAAGTGAGCGAGAATAGAACACATAATCATTCTTGTCTGTTCTGTGCTCAACCAAGCCGGATGGTGTTCTGCCCTGAGATGACGTCGAATTGTACGCCCTATATAACTAGCTTCACAGAAGTAGTTGAATTGGTAAATACACATAGATGTGGAGAATTCAGGCAATTTGTCTTTATTAACGGTTGCTTTCATGGGGCGGACGTAGAAAACGGCATGGGTACCCAACGAAATTAATCGACAAACATACGAAAGAGATGAAAAGAAGAACAAAGATATCTACCGTTCCGAAGGAAGTACTGTTCTTAAAATTATAATTTCTAAATGATGCTACCGAAGAAATTGTGATTCAAAGGTTAAGAAAGGCGGTACAGAAAACATTTAATGTAGCCAGAATGAATGCCGTTTTCTACAACTGCCCCTTAATAAGAACTGTTATTTTATAATCAATATGTTATCATATAATTACTGCCTAACATAACTACTCGATGTGTATTATTTCACTGTTGTAAATCATCTGTGTATACATTAGTGTAGAGTCATGATGAAAAACTGATTGGAAATAAATTTCTTCGCTCAGTTAGTTCTTTTTTTACCAAACATAGATGTTATCTTTCAACAGTGATAAGTATGGTTTATTGATTGCATTGTAAAAACACGAAAATACAGTTTTTAGAGCCTTAGAGTGAAGAGTTTTGTTTAAGTCT